ATGTCAGCCTTTTGACCTGGGTATTCGGGTTATGAACTCATAGTCATAAGAATATTACAGATTTTTATATATTTGGTTCATATGTGCATAATAGGGATGCAGCAGGCCACAAAACACACGGTTCAGATCCCGTCATGGTTTTGAGTCATGGACTAGGAGACGAATATAACTTAAAGAACACTTAAAGCAAGGAATTTCTAAAATGCCCATTTATGTGAACACACAACTGCTTTGTCTGAATCATTTCACTGCAACTTTGCGGACCAAAAATCTATAATTTCCCCCATGTTTTACACATAAGGGGGGATTTTTTCCATGTCCTCTATGGACTTTCCTTAGCATTGAGATTTAGGGAATTATTACTGTAAAAAGTAACAGTGGCAATAAAATAATGTGGATAACTTCATAATTAATCCACAGTTCATATGCGTGCTCAATATATAACACAGATCATGTAGGATCCGTTACACCACTAATGCGTAATGTGCCTGGGGCTTTGTGAAGTGTAGCATCATGTTTGTTGACTTTGTTGCAGCCAATCTTCACCATGAGTGCCCAGCAGAACCAGCTGAAAGATATGACCAGTGAAAACTTCAGGAACTTCTTGAAGGAATATCAATACGAATCAGTGAGTACACGGCACACGCTGGGGACACGGCACACGCTGGGGACACGGCACATGCTGAGCACACGGCACACGCTGAGCACACGGCACACGCTGAGCACACGACCGGGTGCTATTTGGCAATAAGAGAGGACAGCTATAGTGAACACCTCTCATGCTGGCTTTCTGTCCATGACGCGCCTTCCTGGTGCTCTGCCTCTGGACCTCATGGTGCTTCTCCTTTTTCCCAGAGTGCACAGCAGTTTCTGGAGGCCTACACACATGTGGACGTTACAATGGCCGAACTAGAGGGCAGTTCCAACTCTCTGTGGACCATCAGTCCACCCAGCAGGAAGAACCTGATAGAGCTCCTGAGCAAAGAGGATTCTTTTCCTGTCACCATGGCCTGGTCTATTCAGAGGTGCAGACAAGGAGCTGAATTAACTCCAGATAAATCTGTCTAACCAGCTGCCCATTGATCATCACGGACGTTGGCCTGTTTTGCGATGAGCTGAAGTCACCGTATCTTCTTGTTTCATTGATACCCTATAAATGAATCTTCTTTCTGCAGAATTGAAATTTGATTTGGATTGTTTTGATTATTCCCTTCAGGAACTTGACTCTAGGGGCCAAAGCTGAAATTGCGACTCACAAACACATCACCGTCCTTGGAAATAAAACCAAAGCAGACCTCATTGATCTGCTGAATGGGACAAGCAAAGGTGCTGTGTAAGTATATGGCCTGAATTGTACCCTAGGAGGCTGGTTTCTGTGTTTGTGGAGAAAACCCAGTCCTATGCTCCTTTCCAGGACGATACCAGATATCTTCCAATGTTACATGCGAGCTCCGAGTGACTCTGAAGCCAAACCCATCAGCCAGCTTTACAAAGGTACAGGAGTCCGCTTTGGCAGCCCTCTTCATTCATTTCAATCTTGCTCTTCAGTGCAAAGTGGGCGATACAGACAGCTGTCCCAGTTATGGCGGTTATGTAGTAGAGACACTCCTCACTTAACACCCTACCCGTTTAATGACCGCCTGGACCGCCAGCTCTCCAACCCGGTTGGCGTTGTCCGGTGTGTAGGTTTTTTGGCCGTGGAAATGGTAGTGTGGCATTTCTAATCTATTCCGTTTGTTCTGGTCTCTGATTTATTTGCTTCAGTGAAGGAAGGTTGTATATTGTTTGCAGTAATTGACTTATTTTGATACACCACATCGGTTTACACTGAACTCATGATCTGTTGCCTTTAGATTGATGCATATGCTTTGTATTGTGGGGTTAGGGAACCTCCAGTAGCGAGGAAAGCACAGACGTGCGCAGGGTTAAAGTTTTCTTGTGTCTTCGAAAGCAATGGCTGCAAGTTTTTTACTCGTTTCATATCTCAGTTAATATGTACAAGTGACTTATTTTCTATTTTTGTTCTGTAATGTGTAAAAGGATGTTAACAGCGATTCATTGGGTTGCACTGATGCTAATTTGTGATACATGCCGATATATGTTAGAGTATCGTTTATTTGTAATTCCGTTGATGATTAACATTAGCACTTATCGGCCAGCTTGTTGTAACTTTTCTATGCTAGATAAGAGTGCTGTGCTAGATAAGAAACCTCCTAAGTCCTTTCTGTGTTTTGTTTTTTAGTTTCACTCAGATTTTCACCTGTCACATACCAAGAAGACACTTAACGGAAACAGAACACTGTTTAGTACAGTATACAGTACACCACTGTTTAAACATTTATAAATATACTAAAATGTTATAAATGGTGCAAAGGTGATATTAAAACAATATTTTAAGGATTGTTGAGAACTGGAGACAAACCCACTAGCAATACTGCATATACCAGGGTTTCTCAACCCGGTCCTCGGGGACCACCAGACGGTCCACGTTTTTGCTCTCTCCCAATTCCCTGCCAATTGGGAGAGAGCAAAAACGTGGACCGTCTGGTGGTCCCCGAGGACTGGGTTGAGAAACCTTGGCATATACTATATCAGAGATGGGTGGCTCCTCGCCTGTCGACCAATTGGCTTAACCTAGTTGTAGGAACGGAACTCTGCCCTTAAGTGAGGAGTCTCTCTATTTGTTTCTGAATAAAAAACATGTTTTTCTTTGTTTTTAACCCACAGAATAGCATTATGCCTCATGATAAAGAACAATATTCTATAACTCATTTAAATGGGTTGCTCACCTGTGTTGTAGATAAACTGTATAAGAACATCACCTTGAGTCTGGAAAGGAAGCAGAAGAATGCAAATGACACAAAGGACATACAGGAGTGGTGGACCGTAAACCAGACGGAGGTCAGGAAATACAAGACCGAGAGCGACCATGACGCTGGATTGGAGTTGTATGTGTTCAGCGACCAAGTGAGCCCCCCCAGTTTGGGCTTCCTGGCAGGATACGGGTGAGCACTGTATCTGCACTTACTTCTCATCCCAAAAGCAAACGCATCCTGCTGCTTTTGGGGCTTTTTTGGTGTGATTATGGTTTACAGATCTGAGATTCTTTTCGCTTTGTGATGCAGTGCTGCTGAGATGGACAGGAAGGAGCCCAAATTCCAGTTCCTCTATTGATGTGTTTTTCTTCTGCTGTCCTTTCACTCGTTCCCTCTCTTCTTCCCGTCTTCCAGGATCATGGGTCTGTATGCCTCAGTCGTGCTAGTGATTGGAAAGTTTGTGCGTGAGTTCTTCAGCGGTATCTCACACACCATCATGTTTGAGGAGCTGCCCAACGTGGATCGCATCCTCAAGCTCTGCACGGACATCTTCCTGGTGCGCGAGACGGGTGAGCTGGAGCTGGAGGAGGACCTCTACTCCAAGCTGATCTTCCTCTACCGCTCACCAGAGACCATGATCAAGTGGACACGGGAGAAGACAAAGTGATGGTCTGAGGCGGGAACTCAAATACCGGGGAGGAACCAAGAGAGGAGGGAAAAAATGAGAGAATAGCAGCACAATCTTGTCCGCTCATGGGGGGGGGGGGGGCCTGGCAACTCAGCATTTTCCCACCTGCAACAACAAAGACCAGTGGCAGAGATCACTTCGTGGACCCCGCTCCTCTCATCGCTGTTACTCTCCGGCTTCATCTAGAAGATTCTCAGCCATCAGTCAGATCTACTCACTCACAGATTCACATGAGGGCTACGCAAGTCTCTGGCAATGTCAGTTTGGGATTAATAGAAGAGCCATTGTGCAGTGGAGAGCCCAGAAAGGCTGCCATCTACTTGAAGGGACTCCGACCTTTTCCCCGGTCAATTTCTGACAAAAACTGAAGGGCATCGATGGGCTGACCACTTTTTAGAGACATTTTACATTTTTTCTTTAATGATATCCATATGAGAATCCTTACTTGCCTTATTTTGTTTGTACAGTACAGTCAAAAACCTGTTAATTACAAAGGAATTTTTCTCAGGAAAAGACAAATCATCTCAGCAGAAGGGGAACTGTATCCATCTTCAGTGTACCTGAGAGCAGATCTACGCTGTGGGCAGGACAGTGCAGAGTGACGAGCACAGGAATGTGGATCAGGATGCAGGCGTAGGAGCAGGGATGGGGAGGGCAGCAGTAGCTCATAAGTGCATCTGAGCCCCCAAACGGTCTCCAGGAGTCAGCATCATGTGGAGGTTGGGCTGCAGAGCAAAGGGCCCCAGAGACAGGACCTGTGTGCTAACAGTAACTTTTTAAATCCAAGTGTTTTTAAATCAGATTTTAAGTCAGACATAGGCACCAGGTCCAGTATAATCACTGAAGGAAAGATGCAAGATCATCGCAAACGTTTGGGAAATGTATGTATTGCCTTTATTAAGAACGGAAAACCCTTTAGCAGAACCTGTGGAAGATGTGAGGAGATACAGCCCAAACTATGCATCAGAAACATTGTAGCATGAATGAAAAATTAAATTATTGCTATGAATAATTTTCATTCCATGTACATAATACATTTTTGGCAAAGAAAAATGTGAATGTCAATTTCACCGTGTACTTGTATGTTTGACGGATATGTGGTGAGGTCCAGGTCCAGTGACCTAGAAATAAAGCAGATGTTGGGAAGGTTCGGAGTGACCACTCTCTTGATTTCCCCAATTTCAAGAAATGAGTCTGACCTTCTGAGCAGAGCCACTAAGCAGGTAGGAGATGGCCACAGCTTTCTGCTCCAGCTCAGAGCGTTTGTATTTTTAACCTCGACCGATGCAACTGGCTGCTCAATCTAGGATTACAGCCATTGAGGTTAATGTTCAAAATCTGCAATTGTATCTGCTAGATTATGAAGTGACAGTTTTCCAGCTGCTTTGGTGCTTAAACTAAAACTGAAGACTAAATATAAAAACAGAAATAATGTACATTAACTGTCTAAAAACGCATTAATAACCTAACGTATCCAGTGAAGAATCTGAATATAGTCCTCATTTAAAGCTGTTTTATTTCTTCTTACATATGTATCTCTCTTTAATGCACTGATACATCGTACAGGTGACACAGAAAATCTCGGACCTACTACAGGAACAAACACCACGGTTATACAGAAAATGGGATTTAAGTAGAACCTGATGTTGTGGAAGAATCTGACAGAGGGAAGCGCAGGACATCCACACTAGCAGGCATCTGCACAGAGGGGAGCTTCGTCAAGACAGCATCACAGTTATGAATGTGACCAGATGAGAGTGAGTCCTTCACTGGGTTTTGTGAATAATACATATAAATGTGTCAAACACCACAGAGAAAGAAAAATAGTCACTGAGTAAACAAATGTGGGTATTTCACAAGAGGATTAACTGAAAATAACAGTTGATAATGGCAAACAAGTTTGATTGAAAAATAAGTGTAATATTTGGCATACAACTAAATATCTCTGCCAAAGGCTGACTGACATGACCATCCATTGTTCTAGATACTTTCAGTTTGTACAGGATGGCCGTCCCCTGGCCAGCCACCATTGCTGAAACGGAAGCTCACCCTCCGGGAAGAGCAACAATTCAGTGTGTTTGCTTTACCTTCTGTTAATTCTTACCAATGACACTAGATCATAGTGCAGTAATACATGTTAAAATCACCAGCCTTAGACATTTCTTTGCATTTCATGGAATCACTGTTTGTGCTCGCTTTGCATTCCTGATAATATGCTTAATAATTTCTGTACATTATAACAATTTACTTTAACATACAAGACAGTTCACCACAATTTAAATAATTTATGACACTACAGACACCTTAAACAAAACCACTGTTAATCTAAAAAGGAAACATTATCCCCCACTTTCTACATTTCATAAATACTTACCTCTTATTTGATATGGTTAAATGCATTGAACCACTAAACAAGAAAATTATTTACTACAATAATATTCAATTTTAACATTTAGGTCATTTTAGATGAATGACCTTATTACAGGTGTTAATCAGGTTTGCAATTATGATTAATGATTTAATTTGTGGGGAAGTATGAGATTGTCGTCTTTGAAATATTAGAGTTTATGTAACTAGGTAATTAGGTTATTAAAAATAATACAGAGGAATGTATATTCATGGCCCTGGATGCTGCTTGGGACAGCGGTTGGAAGATGGGTGGGTATATTTATATGGCGTAATGGCATTGTGAGATAGCAGTAAGCTAACACAGGCCTCCCTCATATTCATCGTCCTCCTCTGCTGCGGCTGGCGCTCCAGCGCCCCCTTGAGGTACAGTTGGGGATTTCTTCTTTTTCCCACCCCCTGGAACTTTCAAGGTGACTGCCAACTTGGCGTACTGTAAAACAGACAGAAGGGTATCAAAGGGCAGCATAAGGGTGCACTGCGAGAGGATCTTCCAGGTGCCTAGTGTGGCACAGTCCCAGGCATCAGCAATTCTCTGTTAATTTTCATTTCATGACAACTTTGTGGGCAAATATGCTGATGGTGAGAAATGTATAGCAAAGGCAATGGGCTTTGTCCGTGAACCAGATTAGTTTGCGAGTTGTTCTTATGAGTGACTTAGGAGAACTTGCGGCATTCACCAATATTCTCATATTTTGAATGTTCTCTTAGGTATCAACAAAATTTACAAATGGTGCAGACCTGTCATAGGAGTCTGTTGTTATCCAAACCTAAGGTCGCAGTAACTTGAGGACGATGCCAAAAACAGACAGCCCATGTCTCCCGGAAGTTTCCAGAGTCTCCCACAAATTATGTGCAATGTCCAAGAATTCTGTTATTCTGCTATTCAGCGCCAGTAACATTGGCCAGCAAGTTTCACCACCACTGTTTAGCACCAATTTTACCCACTTCACAGGTAAAACTTAGCCTGACTGTTTCCTCCACTCTTGAGAGGTATTCCTCTGAGCCAACTAAGTGTAACAATGGTTCCTCGTTTTAATTCCCGTTTATTAACTTATACCCATTTAGCTTTGTTCATAGTTTTGTTCCACAGTTATCTAGTGGCATGATTTGGAACGTATGACATCAATTTTAATTGGATCTGGGTAGATTCAGGCTCAGATCCACTGTGGATCCTTAATCTGTATCAGAAACGGATTTGGGCCAATGTGCAAGTAGATTTGGAAACGCACCCATTTGGGGATCTGGACTGAAGGTATTGCTACCTTTGAAACATATATGGAGTGGTGTCCGTTTGCTACTTGGGGCACATCTTTGTGGCCGGGGAATCTCACGTCTCTCGCGGTAACTTTTAAACTTTTCAGTGCCATTGAAATTATGGGGCCCAAGTATTATTCATGAATGTTCACCTTCGCCAGAATCTTCTGCCCCTGACCGAATGTAAAGGGGGATCCTGAATTAATTATGTTGATAATATCCTTTTTGACTCTACAATTCAAATCATCCTATGACTGTAAATTTATTCATAGAGCCTAATGATATCGTTAATAGGCTATAAATCGGTATTGATGCTATTGTATAACAGAACAATATATGAACATCTCAAACTGCAAAAGCGACTGAAACCCTGCACTAATAAAAGCCCCTTGATTTCACTGATGACTAAAAAGTACAGACTCACTTTTATGGATCTCAGAAATACAGACATAAATCTCTGAACTCTGAGCCCAGCCCCGCCCCCTCTGCTCTGATTCGCTGATACATGTACCTTTCGCTTCAGCGTCAGCCAGTTGACCTCGGTTTTCTTCCTCCCTGCTTGGGAGTTTTTGATTCCTCTCCTCCATAATCATCTGGCTTACTTTCTTTTTCTTTCTTTGTCCTCCTTTTCCCCTGATTTTGTATTGTACTCTTAATGGTGTAGTTCACAACACATCCATGTCAAGCACTTTTGGGCGACTTGTTGTGAATGGCACTATATGGATTGGAATGTACTGGACTAAATTGAAAACTCTTGTTCCATGACACCCGATATAAAAGTTATGACCCTAAGGTCAAACCAAGGCCGACAGTCAGCGTGTGGCATGGGCCTCGCTCGCCACGGCCAAACTCACATCATTGTCCATGTACTTCAGCAGAGGAGAGCTGCACACGCGGTTCACAACATCCTCGTCCTGCTCGTCGTATCCCTGCAACAGCTGCTCCATAGCTACGCAGTCCTCACTCCCACTGAACCCTGGGATACTGGAGGAAGCCATTCATTACAGCCTCCTTCACGCTGCGTCTGTATGCACAAGAGGCCTTCCATGTGACTGCCAGCAGGGGGCAGGGCCAATATGAGCAGCGCACCTGTAACTCTCCCGGACGCATTTGTCAGCTGCAACGAAGTCATTCCTGTGCAGGTGCACCAGGACCTGGGCGATGGTTTTCTACAGGGCACAGGGACAAAAGTGTCACCCAAAGGACTCATACAGACTTATTCAGCAGGATTAATCACAGTGTATCCAACAGAGCACACACTGTGACAATACTGACAGAATGACTGCATAACCAACAGTAAAGTAATCCCTTTCAAAAGTACATGACTATCAGAAGTATGCATTTTAAATTCAGATTATCTTTAGGTTTCTTTAAACTGGACTATCGTTTTTATTTTTTCAGAAACATGCTTTTGTTGTTTGCCGCGTACTTTGAAGCAGGTTGGATAATTTTCTATTTCTTTATACATGTTTTTTTCCTTATGAATGGAGGCTGCAGCTTCATCAAGCCTGGAAAAAAAAAAACAGATGAACAGCAGCTTGCTTCAGTAGCTGGACACTAATCATTGGCTTTGTTAACGTTCAGTCACTCCTGCCCGAGTTTTACCTGCGTAGCCTCACAAGAAGCCGGGAGGATTTTCCTAAGAGCTCAGCAGCCTGTCTGAGGCGGTCCTCGTTCTGGAAGTAGGAATATGCTTTCATAAATGATATTAATAATGGTCATCAGTTTGACAACCGTTCAGCTACAATTTGAGTAAAGATCAGTCATCATGTGTGGCTATCAGGTAAAATGGTATCATGAAGCTAAATCTGTCACAGAAATGGCATGACATGGCAGTAATCAATCAATCAATTTTATTTCTATAGCTCATTTTCACAGCATTACATTGTCTCAAAGCACTTTACATTATCCCTGCACAAAACCCCCAGTGAGCAAGCCAGAGGTGACAATGGCAAGGAAAAACGTCCCTAGAAGGAAGAAACCTTGGGAGGAAGCAGACTCAGAGGGGGAGCCCAACCTCCATGGGCCGGTAATAACCATGGCAGCCTACCTCAAACACCGATGCTGCTTTCTTGTAAAGATCGATGGCTTTTTCTACATTGACGGGTTCTATGAGCCTGTGGGGCAGACAGAAAGCAGTTAAAATGTGTTTTAAAATGGGTACAGGGCCTTACTCGGCTGGGACGAGCCGGGGGCACGGGGCCTTACTCGGCTGGGACGGGCCGGGGGCACGGGGCCTTACTCGGCTGGGACGGGCCGGGGGCACGGGGCCTTACTCGGCTGGGACGGGCCGGGGGTACGGGGCCTTACTCGGCTCGGACTCACTTTCCCGCTCTGTCCAGCGCCATAGCAGCTGTGTCTGGGGTGCCGTTCTCCACATACATCATGCTGGCTTTCTCGATATACTGGATGGCTTCAGGCATGCGCTTCATGTCCTGCCAAAAGCTCATGGTCACTGTAATGAAGCCACACACTCCAGCCTCTGGGAGGCTTCAGCAGCAGGTCACTGTAATGAAGCCACACACTCCAGCCTCTGGGAGGCTTCNAATGAAGCCACACACTCCAGCCTCTGGGAGGCTTCAGCAGCAGGTCACTGTAATGAAGCCACACACTCCAGCCTCTGGGAGGCTTCAGCAGCAGGGGGGGCAGCCGTTGCTATATTCCAGTCATACACACCACTCACAAAACAGCACAGGTGTTACGGCCGGGCCACACTATTAAAGCCATCTTACTTACTTTCATCATCATACCCGCTTGTTCAAGAGCCCTGAAAAAGAAACTTCTCTTACAAAAAGCAGAACTAACTTGTACATATTAATTTTAATTTTTAAAATGTTGGGATGAGAACACTTACTTTGCTGCGTGGAAAAGACTGTGAAAAAAGTCAAGGTCTCTAAATACAATGCTATTTTTGTATTTAAAATGTTCAGTTAATAGAAGACAAAATATCTACTTTTCTAGTGCAAATACAGGTTTATTGTACTAATTTATTAGTTTGTTTTGATTATGAATTTCACTTTTTAATAATAGAAATATCTCAGCTCCCCCCAAATGAAACTGTGAAATATCAAGGTGCAAATGCAGTTTTTTTTGTTTGTTTTAAGCCAGTCATAAACTTAAATTGCCAGCATAGAAGAGCCTTTGTGATTTTAGCCCCCACTCCCAGGAGCAGCAATGCGGCCGCTGGGGGCCATGCAGGATACGCCTTATTCTCCGTGTGGTACTCAGCCTCCTTGACATAAGCATCCTTCGCCTGCTCAAACTGCTTGGCATTTTTGAAGGCCACAGCTGAGGACACACATTCACACACAATTTACATTCCTACACGCCAGAAGAATTTTGAACAGATGAGGAATCCGCATCTCTCTTAAAAATTAAACAAAGCAACTGGAAATACAAACATAAATACACGTCAAGACGAGACAAAAAAAGATGGGAGGCAGTCAATTCCCCCAATGGCTGCTGGAGGAGGATCTGTCTTACAAATGGCAAACCATGAGTGTATTCCGCCTGAAATCAGACTGCACCGTCCGGGAGTCTTACCTGCCTTTGAGTACTCCGACGCTGCGCTGTCATAGTCCGGCTTCCACTTTGTCAAGCTGGTCTTTAAGCTGCATACGTGTCAGACATATTACAGCACATCGTGTAGGGTTCATATTTCAATGCCATTCGTGTTCTCAAAACAATGCAGTGAAACGCAGCATCCCTATGCATCTTTCACAGCTTGTCAAGAAACATGTCACATGAGCAACAATAACATTGCCGATCACACTAATAACAATAGCAGGAGTCTATTATCACATACCAGGTTATGCAGGGACAGCTTTAACAATCCGGCGGTAACATTCAGCTAGGATGCTCAACATTAAACGCTTGACAGCTTATAACACTGTGTTGCGTAACCATAGAGCCAGAGCGACTATATCAGGACGACAGTCAGTGTTAATGTCTGCTAATCGGCAACACGCTAGCTGCGCATATGACTATAATGATGCTGATCAAGAAGATCGTGCTGTAACTGCACCAAATATAAATATAAGGGGAAAAGAATAAATAAAATAAAAAAACTGACCATTTTTCAGCCTTGGCGATGTGCTCGTGGGCTTCGTTTATCTTCTGAGCTGCCATAGCACCGTGATGGCTTTTAAATGCTTTGCAGCAGGTAAATTCTTCTGCGATCACGGGTTCCAAATAACGTCAACAGAGCCGCAGGTTCCGCTAGATGATCCTGCATGTTAACGGAGCGAGCCGTCTGTGCGGACTACGGCGGCCGAGAAAGGAACGAAAGGACCTGTCTGTCTTGCGTTATGATATATTTACAGGTGCACTGCAATATCCATTTTAGAAATGTAGACTATTAAATATAAACTGCATAATTTACTAAGTTGACCTGTTTAGATCTCGTGTTTTCTGTAATTCTCCTTTGCAAACAGATTATTATTTTAAACTTAAAATGTATACTCCGATTTATTAAATCGTCAGGTGCACTTATAAATTATCCTGTGTGCTTCATATAATGTAAAGTATTATATTATATAGGCTGCTTCTTATTTTTCTTTAAAAATATTCAACGATTGCTTTAAATATATACGTTCAAGATTTTACCACCAGGTTTACGGTATTTAATTAAAATCTGTTTTAATCCGTTGATGTTTTGCTGTTTTGTGCACGTCGAAGGTGTGGTGAGCAAATCGGTCATGTTACGGTTTGTCACACCCACTGTGGAATGGCATATGTCCGTGATCTGGTATTCTCTCCAGGTTTAATTGCTTAGGATTGTTTGGGAAAATCAATAAAATATAACACAGCTAAATATGCATCTTAAGTGAACCACTGCTATTGCTGAAGTGTTGTTTTCTTCCCCTGAAGATTCTACAAGTCGGCCCCGTTAAAATGGGATCGGTGCGGATTGTTTTAGGATGGGCCGTTCTGGCGGATTCGTCAGGGCATAAAACACGAAAGACACCCCACGTGATGAAAATAGTCTGAAAATATGCCCCCAAAATATACTTAGAAAAGTTATGTCTTTTAGGTCGCGGTTATCTACTTTTATCTCATGCATGATCTTTGGCAGAGCGCAGAAGCCGCAGTTTATGAAACAGCGCCGTAAAAAAGTGAGGAAATGGGAAGTGAAGTTTCCCCCAAACGCGCGACGGAAGCGGAAGTGGCGCGCGGAGCCCAGGCGCAGCTGCCGAGCGCAGGACGAGGGCTGGAAACTTTGGGGAAGTGGCCGCGACACCCAGAGACAAAGTTTATTCGCCAGCCAGTCGGTCGCTTAATGCTCCGTCCCGAAGGCGTAGCGGGGACACCGATGCGGAGCTGGTAATGGATCCGAGGTACGACATCCAGCGGAGGGGAGCCGGGGGCTCCGGCGCAGGATCCCCGGCTCTGACCGGGGCTCAGGCTCGGCGCAGAAAGATGCCGCCGCGGCCGGCCGACTACAAGCTGCAGGTGATCATCATCGGCTCCCGCGGCGTGGGCAAGACCAGCCTGATGGAGCGCTTCACCGACGACACTTTCTGCGAAGCCTGCAAGTCCACCGTCGGTGAGCCGGCGGGCGACCCGTGATCTTACCGGGGGGTAGTCAGCCGAGGCTGTGCCACACTTTAAGGGCATATGTCACCGTGATCTTACCGGGGGGTAGTCAGCTGAGGCTGTGCCACACTTTAAGGCCATATGTCAAGTTTCTGCGTAGTTAGATTAGCCGCACGGAAAATTTAATACAGATATAAGGACGATGCTTCGCAGGGAACAATAACTTGGATTTTCGAGTTAAAATTTAAGATATGACATTTGAATACACAGAATACGACGCCTGTCAAAAGGCAGGACACACCTACTGAAAATCATTTGGTTTTCAACAAGACAAGGGCCCTAAGCACAGCAGCAGGTTTTATTGCGTTACCTTCTGAATGAGTATAGAGATGGAGTGCTGTGGCAGAGGAACGGACCCCCATAGTACCCCCACCTAAACCCTATAGAGCTGGTCTGGGAGCAGCTGGATCAAAGAGTAAGAGCAAGGCAGCCGTCCTGATGGGGAAGCATTCCAGGTGGCTTCTGCTGAAAGAATGCCGATAGTCTGTAATGCAAAAGGGGACTGGAGTCTAAATTTTGAGAACATTTTGAGAACTGTTGGTCATTGAACAATGTTAATATAAGGCCTTTTAGTATAAGGCGATTAACAAAGCTAAAATGAGGACAAATGCATTAAAAGTCGGTGTGTCCAGACTTTTGACTGGTACTGTGTATCTAGAATATATATCTTATAATTCAGTACTTAATTCTGTTCACCATATGAGGACAGTGGGATTGTTGAGCGCCGCTGGGGTCTGACTCCCCTTTGGCACTAGGCTGAAGTCAGGGCCCTGTTTGTGTTGGTGTCTTTTTCAAGCACAAGATGATCACGTGGTAACAGGAGAAGCCAACATGGCTCCTGTATTAATGGCAGGAGTCCAGAGGACACCCCCTCCCACCTAGAATGTCAGGAGGCACCGTTTGGGAAATACAGGAAAGGGCGGTGCTGTTAACCTTCTGTCAGTCAGATTAAGTCTTCAGCTGTCGTCCTTTGCCTGACTCATTAACAGCTGGATGGAAAGAGTGTGTGTGTCTCTCTGCTTCTCTCTTTATCTGTGTGTCTCTGTGTTTCTGTCTGTGTGTGTTTCTTTGCTTCTATGTTTGTCTTTGTGCTCCTGTGTTTCTGTCTCTGTGCCTCTCTGCTCCTGT